AACAAACAAACAAACAAACAAAAAACAAACAAACAAAAAAGGCATGAGATTTGAATAGGCATTTCCCCCAAAAGATATACAAATGACCAATAAACACATAAAATTTAGCTTGTCAGGGTCTCCACCACTTAAATCCATAGGTTTATATCTTTTGCCTAATTTGGTTTTGTTTTGTTTTTCAGAAGGGAGATTGAACTCAGGGCCTCATTTGTGCTAGACAAGGTATTCTGCCACTGAGCTATATCCCCAACTCTTACCTTTTATCTAATCTTGGAGCTTTTCAGCCATTATTTATTTTAATGGAACAAGAGTTCCATTATTTTCTTCTCCTTCAGTGATTTTTTTTTTTTTTTTTTTTTTTTTTTGCGGTACCAGGAGTTGAACCCTGCACCTTGCAAATGCTAAGCAAGCACTTTACCACTGAGCGTGCCCCCGACTTTTTTTTAAAAAAAATTGTTTTGAGATGGGTTTTTACTAAGTTGTCTAAGTTGGCTTCAACTTTGAACCCTCCTGCCTCAGACTCCAGAATAGCTGAGATTACAGGTATCTAACCACTGTGTCCAGTTCCTTCTGAGATTCTTATGATGTGAATGTTTACTTTTTTGTTAGTCCAACAAATCTCTGAACCTCTGTTCATTTTTTCAGTCTATTTTCTCTCTTTCAGTCCAGATTAATTTATATCTTCCATTTTAAAAATAGTTTTATTTTATTTATTTATTTTTATGTGGTGCTGAGGATAGAACATTCACAGGTGCCAGGTAAACGCTCTACCACTGAGCCACAACACTAGCCCTGTATACCTTCCATCTTTAAGTTCACTTTATTTTTCCTTTATACTTTCCATTCTGCTGAGTTTTTAATTTTGATTACTGAATTTTTAAGTTCTAAAATTTCTATTTAGTTATCCTTTATATCTTATTTCTTTGCCAATATTATTATTATTATTTTTTTTATTTTATTTTTTAGTTATTGGCGGACACAACATCTTTGTTTGTATGTGGTGCTGAGGATCGAACCCGGGCCGCACGCATGGCAGGCGAGCGCGCTACCACTTGAGCCACATCCCCAGCCTTGCCAATATTATTTATGTTTTTCATTTAAAGAGAGTTTATAAGTACTTGTTGAGGCATTTTATTTTATTTTTTCTTTCTGGTACTGGGGATTGAACTCAGGAGTATTCTACTACTAAATCCAGATGCAACCCTTTTTGTTTTTATTTTGAGACAGGGCTTCTAAATTGTGAAGGCTACCTGGAACTTATGATCCTCCTGCCTCAGCCTCCTGAGTATCTGGATTATAGGCATGGGCCACTTAACCTGGCTTTATTGAAGTATTTTTCTTTTCTCTCTTTCCTTCCTTCCTTTCTTGTACTGGGGCTTGAATCCAGGGACACTTCACCATAGAGCTACATCCTCAGCCCTTTTTTATTTTGAGATAGGATCTTGCTAAATTGCTCAGGTTGGGCTTGAACTTGCAATCTTCCTGCCTTAGCCTCAAGAGAAGCGGGGTTTACAGGCATATGCCACAATTCTTGGAGAAGCACTTTTAATACTTGCTTTAAAATACTAGTCTGTGCCGAGCCTGGATGTGAATGCCTGTAGTCCCAGCAGCTGGAGGCTAGAGCAGGAGGATCATGAGTTCAAAGACAGTCTCAGCAATGTAGAGAGACCCTGTCTCAAAATAAAAAATTTAAAACGGGCTGGGGATGTGGCTCAGTGGTTAAGTGACCCTGAGTTCAATCTCCCCTCTCTCCTCAAAGTACCTGTCGGCTTTAGATGTATCAGATAATTTCATCTTTTAGGTCATCTTGAATTTTAGGTCAATTGTTGTTTCCTATTTTATTTGAGATCTTTCTCATTCTTGGTATGATAAATGAGTTTCACTTGTGTCCTGGACATTTTGGATATTATGAGACTCTGGATCTACTTAAAACTGTTTTAGCAGGTGTCTTCTGACATCGTGCCAGTGTAGGAAAGAGAGTTCTGATGCATTGCAGTCAGGAGGGGTAGGCTTCTGCTGACATACATTGACTGAGAAAGTGTAAGGTCCCTTATTTCAGCTTCCCAATTAGTCCCTAGAAACATGATGGAGAGAAGTCTGGTGCCATCAGGCAGGGCTGATAATCCTGGCTTTCCACTTGGTCTTCTCTGATGCCATGCCAGCAGTGGGGAGGGGTACTTCAGCTGGGTGAGGGTCAACATCTAAATTGTCATGTCTAAACTTCCCATTCAGCCTTCCTGGAAGGTGAGGTGAAGATCTCCCCTACCACTATGGTGTTTACCTCAGGTAGACAGCAATTTTCTACAAGTTTTCTATATTGTCAGGATGTCTGTTTCTTGATTATTTGGTTAAAGTTTTTTTTTTTTTTCTTTTTTTTCCTGTGCCTGTTGAAATTTCCTGGTTGCTGGCTTTTCCAGTACCCAGTTCCATATATGTGAGGTAAAAACAAAACTCAGAAAACTCACCATCATATTCTTTTTTAATTTTTTTTGAGAGAGATTTTTTAATATTTATTTTTTAGTTTTCAGCGGACACAACATCTTTTTGTATGTGGTGCTGAGGATCGAACCTGGGCCGCATGCATGCCAGGCGAGCGCGCTACCACTTGAGCCACATCCCCAGCCCCTCACCATCATATTCTTTGGAGCTTGAGATTCTTAGCCAGTCTGTTTTCTCATCTCAATTTTATTTTTATTTGTTTTATATATAAAATTCAGGATTGTGGTTGCATTTATTAGGAAGAATCAGAAGTGCATTTATCCCATCTTGTCCTGGAACTGAAAACCAGCTTCGCAAATCCTTAAAATGTTCGTTGTAGATTTCCCACAAGGCCCACAAATTCCATATTGTCCAAGAAAAATGAAAGTATATGTCCACATAGGTACATGTATAATAATGTTCATTGCAGTATTATTTACAACATCCATAAAATGGAAACAGCCCAAATATCCATCAGTTGGTGAACTGGTGAACAGCATATGGTACATCCATACAATGAAACTAGCAATAAAAAGGAATGAGGTACTGATATGTAAATGTGCCTAAAAAACATGCCAAGTGAAAGAGTTCTGAGTAAAAAGATCACATATTGTATGATTCCACTTACACTAAATGATCATAATAGACAAAACTACAAAGACAGAAAGATTAACTATTGCCTAGCTATGGGGGTTGGAATGGGGCATGAGTGCAAATGAGCACAAGGTTTTTCCTTCTTTTTCAGTGCTTGGTATGGAACATGGAATTCAGGGCCTCATGCATCTTAGATAAGTGTTCTATCACTGAGCTATACTCCCTGCTCCAACGTAAGGTTTCTTTTGGAGGTGATATAATCTAAAATTAGGTTATGGTGATAGTTTCACAACACTATGAATATACTAAATTCATTGAATTGTGTACTTAAAATGGTTAAATTTTGTGAGATATAAATTGTGCCTCAATAAATCTGTAAGAGGATAGGTGTACAGACATTTTATATTTTGAAATATCTTCAAGAATTTTGTTATGGAGAGTTGAGGAAAGATATATGGCAGGAGAGCATATGAGGCTTTTAAAAATTTTATCACAGAAAACTCAAACATACACATAAGCTGAGACAATTAAACAAAGAACTCTCACATACCCATCATCCAGATGTAATAAATTATTATTTCAGGAATACTCTGGTTCCATCTCTCTCTCTCTCTTTTTTTTTTTTTAAGGAGAGAGGGGGGGGAGAATTTTAATTTTTTTTTTTTAGTTTTCGGCAGACACAATATCTTTATTTGTATGTGGTGCTGAGGATCGAACCCAGGCTTGAGCCACATCCCCAGCCCCCTCTGGTTCCATCTCTACTCTCACACTCCATCCTAGATTATTAGAACAAATTCTAGATATTTCATTTCTTTTTTTTTTTCTGGTTTTGCTATTGGGAATTGAACTCAGGGGCACTTGACCACTGAGCCACATCCCCAGCCATATTTTGTATTTTATTTAGAGACAGGGTCTCACTGAGTTGCTTACTGCATCGCCATTGCTGAGACTGCCTTTTTGATCCTCCTGCCTCAGCTTCCTGAGCTGCTGGGATTACAGGCCTGCGCCACAGTGCCCAGCCCCTAGACATATAATTTCTAATGTTAGTATTTCAGTATCTCTAAAAGGTAAGGAGTCAGAGGGGTGTGGTGGCATATGTCTATAATCCCAGTGGCTCATGAAACTGAGACAGGAGGCTGATGAGTTCAAAGCCAGCCTCAGCAAAAAGTGAGGTGCTAAGCAACTCAGTGAGACCCTGTCTCTAAATTAGAAGTAGGGCTTGGGATGTGGCTCAGTGGTCATATGCCCCTGAGTTCAATCCCCAGTACCCAAAACAAAACAACAACAACAACAACAACAACAACAACGTAAGAACTCTTTATAAATACAACCACAATATTATTATTGCTCCTAGAATTTGCAATAATTCCTTCTTATCTCAAAATAAGCAAAGTTCAAATTTCCCAAATTGTCTAATAGACATACATATACACATACACCACTGTTTGTTTGAATCAGGATCAAAGAAAGAATCATACATTGTATTAAGCTGATATGTCTCTTGAGTCTCTGTTCTTTTTTTCTTTTGGTACTAGGGATTGAATCCAGGGACGCTTTAACACTGAGCTACATCCCCAGTCCTTTTTAAAATATTTACTTTTTAAAAAATTTTGATACAGGGTCTCATAAGTTGCTGGGGCTGGCCTCAAACTTATGATCTCCTGCCTTAGCTTTTTGAGTCACTGAGCTCTGTCTCTCTTCTTTTAAATATATTTTATTTTTTAGAATAGTTTTCAATTTGTAGAAAAAAATGAGAAGATAATACAGTGTTTCTGTGTACTCTGCGTCCAGTGTCCCCTGTTACTAACATCTCACATGAATTTGGTATATTTGCTATACTTAATAAATCAATGTTGATAATTATCATTAAAGTCAATATTTTATTTGGATTGTCTTAGTCTTTACCTAATGTCCTTTATCTGTTCCAGGATTCATCCAAGGTACCACATTATGTATATTTGTCCAGTGTCTTTGGATTCTTCTTGCCTGTGACAGTTTTACAAAGTTTCCTTGATTTTTCTGACCTTGATAATTTAGAGGAGTACTGGTCAAACACTTTATAGGATGTCCTCTTTTGGAATTTGGTGTTTTCCTAGTGATTAGCCATCTGTGGGCTGTGTGTGGACTATGTTGCTAGTATCCTCCTGAGGAGATAAGTCTGGCCCTGGGACCTTCCTGAGCAACCCCCATAGGCATTGACTGCCTGAAGCAGGTGAACTTCCCCTTCAAGCTCTGCCTAAGATTCTACACAACACCTGAGATGAGTGTGACTTGCCGAGATGTCAATCAACCTGCTGACTGCAAGACATCACTGAAGCAAGACTCACCCTTGAAAACTTATCCCTGCCTTTGATGTACCCCCTTAAATAAACCACCAGAGCCATTTTCTCTTTGTCTACTTCAAGAACTCATGTGGACTAGATCTATCAGGGACTTCGCTGTTTGTAAATATATTTCTGAGTGTTTGTGTTTTATTATTTGTTAATTACTTGACATATTAAGATTTAGGGTGGCTTGGAATCCTCTGGGCAGAAGAACCCCCTCAATGAGATGCTGGCCATTTCCCCCCGGAAAATTAGAGCTTGGAGCTTAAGTCTCTCTTAATCCCCCCACATATATTTGTTGAAGAAATGTCGTATTATAGGATTTTCCACATTCTAAATTTTGCTAATTGCATCCATTATCATTTATCATGCTCCTCTGCCTCCCCTGTTCTTTCTGTTAGATTTTAAAGACTTGAAATGACTCAGGGTCTATTTTATGACAGGATATGTCATAAGTAGTGTTGTGTTGTGTTTTTTCATCAGGAAGTGTATAATTCTAGTTGACAGTTGTTGATGACCATTGCCCAGCTCTGTTTTTCTATTAGGGGTTGTAAAATGGTGTCAGCTACTGTCCCAGGAGACCATGCGCTGGGGAGCTTTCTGGGCCATCTCTTTCCCAGGAAGACTGGCAATTAATCCTGAAAATAGACTTTAAAATTTTTACTGGATACACAGGATCATCGATTATGACAATCCTCCATTTTAAATTTAGAAACAATCACATAAATAGAAAAAAATTAAAAACCTCACAAATGAATTATCTGCCTTTTTTTTTTTTAAAGAGAAGAACAATCATGGGCTGGGGGTCTTGAATTAAGGAAACAATCAAAATGTATAAAAATTTTATAAGCATAAGAAATTCATTCTGATTGATAGATAAATAAAATTAGTGAAACAACTTCTTGGCCTTTAGTAATTGTCCCCAAGCTCCAAGCCCCAGAGATCCAAAGGGCATGTGAATCTGCACAGTTTCTCTGTTTTTCTGCCTCTCTTGCCAAATTTTACCAAATACTTACTGAAGATAGAGGCTTGTTGGATGTGTTTTCGGTGAAATCATAATGTTTTCTCCTTATCAGGAAGAAGCCCTTAGGCAGGTGCAGCTGGGACTCAAGGGCTTTGTGGGCATGGGGATTGGGAGGACTAGAAGATGGGAGGATTGGAGGTAGAGAGGTAATAAGGACAAGGTGTGACACTGTGGTGGGGCGGCAGGTGGTTGTCTGGGGCTTCAGAACCTGCCCAGGAGCTGATGTCCAGGGGTAGCTGATGGAGCAGATTCCGAGGGGTTAGAGGATCCTGAGATGAATGGTTTGGGTGTGGGATCAGGGTATGGTGTGCCATGGTGGCAGTCTGAGATGGTGCAATGTTCAATGGTCACCTGACTGGGTTTCTGTGATCTACTCATAGTCCATTCTCCCCCAGTGTTTGGTTATCACCAGAGGAGGTCAGATCTCCAACCCCTGGCCTGTATTAGTGATGAGTTTGGGAGCACCTCTCATGGCCCCAGGTCTCTAGCTGGGCACAGTTATGGATCCAGGGCTTCCCTCCCCTGGCCTGTCTTCCTCATGGGGTCTCTGAACTTGGCCCAGCTTTAGGTAGAAGGAAAATCTGTCTTCTAGGAAGGATATTTTGCCTCCAAGCCCCTTCCCTCAGAAGTTCCTAATAAAGGTGGGAAAGACAGACAGATACAAATGGGGTGTGAAGGGAAGTTTTGTGAACACCCCTCTGGAAGCTCTGGGAAAAAGCTATAGCTACACAATGTAGGTCTTTAGCTCAGACCTCTCCTTAGACCTCAGACCCATATGTTTCGCTTCCTTAACTCCCCAGCGGAGTGTTCCCAGAAATGCATCCAAATTTAAACTCTGATTCCCTGCTCCAACATCTCCTCCCTCTTCTTACCTCCCCTCGGCAAAGTCATTATCCTATTACTTAGGCTGGAAACCTAGGTAACACTCCATTTGCCAGCTAATCTGGTCACCTCTGCCTTCATCATAATCCCCAAGCTGACTCCTCATCCTACCATGAACATCTAGATTTAAGCCGTGGGGCCCAGACAGGACAGGGCTCCATCTGAGACAGTCAGGGACCTCCCCCGAACACCCCCAAGCAGTGTTCTCTTAAGATTAAGGGAATAAAAACTCTGAGCAAAGAATAGGACAGTCAGTCTGTCCCCCACCCCCACCGGAAAAGGGGGAATGTACTCCAGAGACCTCAATTCATAGCTTATTAGCTGTTAAAATTATGGAGTGTACTTTTCCTTGATGTCCCATCTTAACTCAGGGCTTGCTATTTATTAAGAGCCTTTCCCTATCTTGTCACTCGCTGCACTCTCAAACAGTCTTATTGATCTCAGAAACCAGGTGTATCATTAAAGTCAGGATACCCTCACTCTGACTCTCTAAGGATAAATAGTTCTGGATAAAGCTGTTGAGGTGTCATGGAAACTGCAAATTCCCAGGACTCTTAACTTGTTACATGATTTGTGTTCTCTTCCACTTCACAAGTATTTTTTCCCTTAACAGCTGTAGTAGCTTATCCTTATCACAGGGCACAGATGTTTATGCAGGATGCAACATCAATATGGGAGATGGAATATTTGGTACTAGGCTGACCAATAGACTGCTCCTCCCTCAAGGTTGAAGTGCTCACACAGGACCCACAAAGAAAATACCTTAGAAAATGTACCCAAAGCCAATTAAAATTTCTAGACTCCAGCCCACCTTTGTAATCCTTACATGGAAATAAAAACTAGCTCTCTTGTTTGTTCAAGCAACCAGCTTGACACTCTCTTGGTCAGTGCTGTGTCTCCCTTCTGTTTCAAGCAGAAGTCCCAATAAAGAGTCTCATTCTCCTTGCAGTTGTGTCTTTATCTGATTCTTCTGATGTAGGACATAAGAAATCGCCAAGATGGTAATGCATCCCTTCTAGGCTTTGCCTGAGTCTCTTCTGCAATGCCCCCTACTCCCTAGGTCCTCTGTTCTCTCTAGCCCACCTGTCAGGGCCTATATTATTCAGCTTTTCTTTACTGTGCTAAAATACCTGAGATAATAAACTTATACAGAGGGAAGTTTTATTTTGCTGCATGGTTTTGAAGCGTGGGTTTGTTTCATGGGTTTCAGTTCATGATTGATTGACTCCATTGGTTTGGGCCTGTGGCAGAAGTATAACGCAGAAGAAAATCACTTAGTTCCTCAGCTAGGAGCGAAAAAGAAATAGGAAGAATCTGAGGTCTCACAATCTCCTTCCAAAGATATGCCTGTAGTGACCTGGGAACCTCCCACTAGGCCCTACCTCCTAATACTGCCATGCTGGGGACAAACCCTTTAACATATGAACCTTTTTGGGGACAATTACCCAGGCCATGGCAGGGCCTGAGATTCTTTCTTCCTTCTCATCTCTGGCCCTTCCACAGTTCTTCCTCTCCTAAATGTTTCCCAGATGTTGTCCCCCAGCTTATGCCAGCATGTCTTTTTTCTTTTCCTCTGTTTAATTAAAAAAATATTTCTTCCTTAGTAATGGGATCGATCCCAGGGTCTGGTACATTCTAGGAACGTGCTCTACCACTTGAGCTACCATCTCCTTCCTCTCTTCCCCTCTCCTCTCCTCCCCTCCCTTCCTTCCTTCCCTAGGGATTGAACCCAGGGACAGTCTACCACTGAGAAGCCTTCCTGATCACTGGGATTTCAGGTGTGCACTATACCTGTACTGTATTCTCCAACAGGTGACTATGGTTGAGAGCTTGCTGAGAACACCATCTTCTGTGCATTTATGTAGAACCAAGTAAGTTACTGGGTTGGTGGCAAAACTGAATTTAAAAATAAAGTCCAAACTGGGTGCGGTGGTACATGCCTGTAATCCCAGCAACTCAGGAGGCTGAGGCAGGATGTTCACCAATTCAAGGCCAGCCTTAGCAACTTAATGAGAACCTGTTTCAAAAAGTAAAAAGGGCTGGGCACGGTGGTGCATGCCTCTAATCCCAGTGGCTCAGGAGGCTGAGACAGGAGGCTTGCCAGTTGCTCTTTGTTTTAGATGAATAAGCCTTTGCCACAGAGACCACTTATGTCTGGGCTACTGACCCTTCCTTAGAGGATGTAGGGGTGTCAGAGAGACCCCGCCCCTTCTTCCTCAAAGGCATCTTTGGAATGGGCAGAGGTTGTCAAGATGATGTCACTTTTAGCACAGCTGTCCCTGGGCCATTTGAGCGCTACCTCACATACCATCCCCTTTCCTCTGTGTTTCATCCATCCCACCCACCCCATTCTTTCTTTTTGTGTACTAGCTATGTACTAGAGGTTTTTTTGGGATCTCTTTGGGTTCCCTATTTGACACCCAATGGCAGTGAGCAGAGCAGGAAGGACTGAGCAGAACTGAGCAAGATCACTAGGGGTGGGGATAGTGCTGGTCAAAGGGAAACAGGATGCTTCTTGTCCACAGAGGCTAGCTTCTGTGGGTGGCAGTGAGCTATCCAGGAACCCCCCATGAAAAACAGCACCCCTTAACATTAAGAGAGTAAAGGCTTTAGGGGGAAAGAGACAGTCAGCCCCTGTCCCCTGAAAAGGATTAATGCACTTGAGGAACTTGAACTCATGGCACGTTAGCTCTGTTTTCCTCTGGCCCCTCACTTGCTCCCTCTCAGTCTCATTGGCCTCAGAAACTGGGTGCCATTAAAGCCAGGATGCCTGGGTTATGGGTCTCTAAGGACAAAAAAAACATGTAGGATAAAACTGCTGAGAAGTCACTGAAATGACATATTTCCAGGACCCGTAGCTTGTTACTGTCATGGTTGGTGTTTCCTTCCACTCCCCATCTGTGAGTTCTCTTAACAGCAGCAGCAACTCATCCTCATCCTGGGCAAAGATGTTTATGCAGGACTCAGCATCACTATGGGAGACGGCTACCACTTCCTCAAGGTCAAAGCACTGGCCCAGGAGAAGAAAAACATCTTTAAAAATCTACTTAAAGCCAATTATTTCTAATTTCGAGGCCACCCCATCACCTTTTCACATGAATAAAACTAGCTCTCTCTTTTTGTCCTGGGAGCCAGCTTGACACTCACTTGGTCAG